GAGCCGGTTTCTATTGGCCTACTATGACGGGCAATTGTTTTTGTTACTACAAAGGATGCGAAGAGTGCCAGAAGTTTGGAAATATTCATCTTGTGCCTGCTGCTGTGCTTCATTCCATCATCAAACTATGGCGTTTTCGTGGTTGGGGGCTAGACTTTATTAGCCAAATACACACCCCATCTTCAAAGGGACACCGTTTTATGTTGGTTGCTACGGATTACTTTATAAAGTGGACCGAGACAGTTCCTTTGAAGAATATAACACATAAGGAGGAGTTCATCACTGAACATATTATTCATAGATTCAGCATTCCTCAAACATTTACTACAGATCAAGGGACGTCATTTGTATCCAAGGAAGTGAGGGAATTTGTCGAATTATACAAAATCAAGTTCAAGTTGCTCAATTTATCTCCATACTATGCTCAAGCTAATGGTCAGGCTGAGTCTAGTAATAAGACTTTGATCAAGCTTATCAAGAAGAAGATTGAGGAAAACCCAAGGAGGTGGCATGAAGTTTTGTCTAAAGCTCTGTGGGCACATCGCATTTCAAGGCATGGGGCCACAAAAGTTACTCCTTTTGAGTTGGTATATGGTCAAGAGGCCGTGTTGCCCGTTGAGGTGAATTTGGATGCATATAGGCTTGCTAAACAAAATGATTTATATGCTGTTATGTATCATGATTTGATGATGGATAATATCGATGAGGTAACTAATATAAGATTAAAAGCTCTCATGGCATGGACATAGAGAAAGACAAGGCTCGAGTTGCCAAAGCATATAACAAGAAAGTCAAGAGTGAATCCTTCCAAGTGGGAAAAATCATACTTCCAATTGGATCGATGAGCAATTAGTTTGGCATGTGGTTATCAAATTGGGAGGGCCCTTACAAAGTGATCAAAGTCATATTTGGTAATTCTTATCTACTAGAGACATTGCAAGGTGAACGTCTCACAAGAGCAATCAACAGGAGGTATTTGAAAAAGTACTTTCCAAGTGTTTGGCAAGAAGCCTAAGTGCTCTCCAAGAAATGGCCGATACATGTATCGCCCATTGAACAAAAATGGCCGATGTATACATCGCCCTTAGTCACTGAGCAGCTGATGAGATAGGTATCGTCGCTGTTCGGTTTTATTTGATTAAGTGTTTTCCGGTTCATACATCATTCACCTAAAAACAGGGGGCATATGTTACAACCAAAATTGTCCATTTTGTGAAGTTGTCAAAATGTGAAACGAACTACACCATTGCATCCCTCTCATTGAGATGGTCAAAAAACATATATGGAACGTCCAATTCGGAGTCCGGATGAAGGAGTTATGCCTCCGGGAAAATGCTCCGCTGTCGAAAGTTCCGACATGTGTCAGAACTTCCGGGAAGCCTGAAAAAACCTACTAAGGTGCCCGGGGTTATCCCCACGTCGGGAATTCCGACAAAGGTCGGAAGTTTCGACTCGCGAAAGTTCCGACGGAGGTCAAAACTTTCGACAGACCTAATAAAAAACCCTGGTCGGATCTGGCCTTTTGGATTCCGATCCGAACTGTTCCAAACTCGTGGGAAACTTAGAAAATAAGTCTTGGAGAGGTTTCCTACTAGGATAATACCACCCCCCCCTCTATATATATATATGAGAGGATCATGGCCGATTGAGTTCCCATCTATCCAATCGTCAAAACACAACAAATCAATCTACTACCTCTCTTTACCCTCTCTTCCCCTCTACTTCTCCTCGTTCTTCGTCGGTGTTGCATGGACGGTGGATCGACGATAGCGAAGCTCTAGAGCGGCCAGGCCCAGCCCATAGCCGCTGCACGCCCCGACAGGGTGTCTTCCGGGCGTGTGGGGTTTCGGGTCTCAAGAGACCTCACCGGCGTGTCTTCCGTATAGCGCTCCTAACGAGGCTCCTCCGACAATGTGTCTTGCGTATCGCGCTCATCGCTGGAGGCACAAGGTTTAGGTGTGGACATCCCCTAGGCGCCGGTCGATCCAAAAATCGGCTAGGTCCTACATAAAGCGATCTAGCTCCTTTATCAAGTGTGTGACCTAATTAAGCGTAACAGTATGTCCAAGCAAAGTAGTACATGTACACGATAAATTTTGGATTGTTCCAACATGACATTAACACGAGTAGTAGTAGATTGCACTGTGCCTAGAATCTTGGCTACATGGCACGACCTACATCTTAAATTGTACTTTGTCCAACATGACATGAAATTATACCATTTATTGCACCTGCCTTTCTATAAGGCCTAGTGTAACAACAACTATTTAAGTAAATAAACACGGAATGTGTTTTTGCGCACGGAATGTTAGAAAAGCATGCTCAAAAGATGTTGTGACTGAAATGAGATATATGTATGTTCCTTTTCATTGTGACTTATTAATTATGGTTGCTACCCAATAAGCTAAGTAGCAACATTGCTTTTATTGAGCACAAGATTTAGCTATACAAATTAAAATTTAAATATTAATGATTTTATAAAAACAGAGGGGGAGGTGGTGTTTTCTGCTGATACAGGATGTCCAATTTCTGTCAAGGTACGTGGTGTATCTTATTGTACTATATATGAAAATAAAAATCAAATAAGTTTTTGTGACCTCTTGAAATCCCCTCACTAAAGTTACCCTCAACACTGTTTATTAGCTGTGTAGTTAATTTTTTAATTTTTAAAAATGATTTAATAAAATATGTACTTATTCTCTTGTGTATGGATTTTGTAGACACATGCATGCCGCACATGCATGTTCATTAGTGATAGTAAACTAGACACTTTTGCCCACACTATCCTATAGAATAGCCATGAAGCACACGACCAGATCTCGATAAAATTAAAACTATGCAAGCCGATAAGCGGCCCAAGAAGATTAATAGACTATCATCAAGGATTTGGCTGGCATGACACAAAAATGGGGCGATGGGCCATGGACATTGCTTGTGCCAAGAAAAGGCTTGCCCGTGTGCATAGGAGTCATAGCCCGAAGCAGCACCAAGCATGGGCACTGTTGGGGATTTGACTTTGCTAGAAAACACAGCTCCGAAATTTCGGAGTTGGTCACCAAAATTTTATGTCAAAGTTTGCCTGCAGGATTCAAGAGCGAATGATAAATTTTGACTTCGCTCGAAACAAGCATAAGAGGTGAATAGATACAAGAGCAAAGACAGATTTTGGACTTCGCTCAACGCGCGAAGTCAACAAGATTCGGTACAAGAACTCTCAAGTTGGAGGACGCGAAGACATCCTTGATGAAAGTAACTTTGAAGATTAACAAGGCGACGTGAAGAATGAAGTTTCAAAGAGTAAAAAGACAACTTCACCCCTGTAGTTTAGGTTGTATTGATTAGAGAGAGGTAAAGTAGTCATTTGTATTTAAATTACGAAGACTAGGACATCTATAAATACCCTTTCTGATATGTACCGTCGATCACGAAATAAATACAATATTGTATTTGTGTTCAACTTGATGTTTGTGTGAACAAGTTTTACCCAATAGGTACAACCTAAGAGCATCTCCAATAGTACTTAAAAAGCTAATGCCAAACAATTAGTTTTTTTAACCTTTCTCAAAGCCTATAAAATAAAATCTGTTTTGCTTACTTTATTTCCCAGTATACTATCAGATTTGAAAATCATGGCAGATTAAAAAAATAATAGTAGCCAGAAATCCAATTATAGGGCTGATGGCGGCCGTGTCAGAGAAAAAAATCACCGCAGCAGTCATCCTGCGTGGTAAAAACAGCACAGTTGGAGGTGAGCGTCCTGTTTATTTATCTAATAAGTTATACTTTTTAATTAATAAATAATATTTTTTTCACAATTAGTAATATTTTTAATCATAACTTATCAGCCACGCGAATAGCCAGCAAACTGAGGAGGCCCACCTAATCTCACCATCCAAAGCAGCCCTCAACTCCAACGACTGCGGCGAGGGACCTTCGATCTCGCCGTGGCCCGACGCGCCGCCGCTCGTCCGCCGTCAGCGCCCTCTCGTCCGGCTCGGCTGCATCGGCAATGCTCGTAAGCCCTCTCGTCCAGACTTCCACTCTAACTTCCTTGCCTCCCCTGCGTTGCTGCTGCTGATGGCAGTGCGCTTGTAGATATTGCCCAAGCTCCTATGGAGCAGCGCAATGTCACGTTAGCTTAAGGTCCATTTAATTTCGAAACAAAATGACCCCCGCGCACTCGATCAATTTAGAGCTATAATCAATGCTTTTTTACAGATTCAGGCGATAAGATTGGTGTCAGACGACGCTTGTGGTAATAGTGCCTTCTGTATACCTCGATTTTCTCTAGTTTGAGAAAAAGAAAGGCCATCACTTATTTGTTTTTTTCAGAATTCAGAACTGGATCAATTATCTTGCTAGCCTGCTAGGGTTGGCAGTAGCATTTGCATCCGTGCAGTGATGGCAGTAGTATTTGTACCCGGAAACTTTGTAGGTGGTACGGGGATGGAGACTGCGGTTGGTGACAACCCAATCAGTGATCGAGAAATCTAATTGACAGCGGCCGCAAGGAGGTAGGCCCGATCTGCTGCTTGACAGCGATGGCGACGGTAGCCGGATCAATAGGATTCGCTGCCAAAACAGTGGCATTGCCCCGGCGGAGATTTATCTCTCCGGGGGCACGCAGTGCAGAAGCGAGTGGCGGCTAGGGTTCATATGTGAACTTAGACTCGCGATAACATGTAGGAGGAATATAATTGGGTGGAATTGAATTGTATTGCCAAGCCTCGTGGATGGATTATATTGGAGTACACCACTTATGGGGCAAGACACCTCTCTTAGAGATAAGGCAAGCTGAGATTACACGATCCTAATCTATTGTACTTGGAGATATCCCAACATACTCTAACACAAATATCACAATTTGCCACGCTTTACAATATATTTCATCAGTCAGTTCAGTTCATCTTAAATCATTGTTCCTGCAGTAACATGATCAAAGGTACACTTGGCATGAAACTTGTTATTCCTGCCGCTCAAATCTTTGCATCTGTTGCAAGTCAATATGAATAAGCAGGATGGTAGTCGTCTTCATCATCACATGACATGAGCACCTTGACAATTTCATCCATCGTTGGCCTCTTGCGTCTTTCTTCGAGGCATGAAAAGGCTATTTTCACCATTGCAATTGCTTGCTCTGCATGAAAGTGGCCGTGCAATCTATCATCAACAATATCACTGACATTCCCGGTAGATAGAATATGTTTAGCCTCCTGGACAAACTCCAGAAAATCTATTTGTCTTTCATCTAACATTATGCCACTTGAAGCCCTGATTCCAGTCACAATCTCCAGAAGCACGACCCCATAGCTGTACACATCAACCTTTGCATTGATTGGCATATTCAGTGCCCATTCTGGTGCCATGTAGCCCATCGTGCCTCTCATATGGGTGAAATTGAAACTAGTGCTACCTTGCTTCGCGAGCTTGGCCAATCCAAAGTCTGCTATCTTGGCTTCGAAATCTCGAGTTAGAAGTATGTTTTCTGGTTTTACATCACAGTGAACAACCCACTCAAGGCATTCATGATGTAGGTAAGCAAGGCCTCTTGCTGTGCCCAGTGCAATCTTGTATCTTTGGCTCCAACCAAGCAGGCTTTCAGTACTTCTTTCACCAAAGAGGTACTTGTCCAGTGACTCATTCTCCACATACTCATATACTAATAACCTCTTTGTCCCTTCTGAGCAAAATCCCCACATTCTGACTAAGTTTATGTGATTGATTCTTCCAATAAGGGTCACTTCTGCCCAGAATTCTTCCTCTCCCTGGCGAACATCTGTAAGCTTCTTTACTGCCACTATTTTCTTATCTTCAAGCACTCCCCTGTAGACGATTCCAGCGCCTCCTCTACCAAGCTCTTCTTTGAACTTTCCAGTTGCTTCCCTCAATTCCCGGTATGTAAATCGCCTGAACTGGTTTGTAACCAGCTTGTACCCATCCTCCATTGATTTGGGTATGTTATGCTTCTTGAAGAAAAGGTACCAGCCTGTCACAATAACAAGCAACTCTAGAGCTCCCAATATTGCAGCAAAGACATAGAAGTATGTCCAATTTATGTTGTCCTTCTTTGTTCCGTACATACTTGCTGATCCTAGCATAACCTCAGAACCTGTGGGTCCACAGGTGAGGGTTTTTTGTTTGGAGATTGAGTACGTCGAAATGTTAAAACTCATTGGTACTTTCATATAGTTGTCTCCAGGGAAATATGGGAACACCTGACCATTGTAGAGTAAATCTTTAGTGTAACACCAACCATCCCCACCCTTGTATGTGAAAGACAAGCAGGTGCTGCTGTTCCAGCAGATGTTCCGGCATGCTTCGAATGGGATGGACTTATTGGAGGATAGATCAAAGCCATAGTAATCAGCATGAGGTTGCTCAATAAATGTAAATTCCTCATGTGCTTGGTTTCCGTCAATCAAGAACATTGGTTTGCATCCTTTGTTCCAATTTGTTGGATCAACCATCTCATAATCTGGGGGACATCTACATCTGAGGCCACCCAAGTAGTCACAGAGCCCATTCTTTCCACATAGTCCATGCACATAGCACATCTGTATTACAGCTTGCCCCGTGATGTTCCATTTCCCTGTTGATGCATTCAAGCTGTACATTCTGAAATTGCCATCATAATCAATTGTGATCCTTCTCTTGATTCCTGGACCTGAATCTGAAGCCTCTATCTTAAACCCGTCACTTGATATGAAATTACCCATGTCATCTAGAACTGCTATCCTGGTGCTGTTAAACCTATTGCGGCCATTTTTTTGAGCGTCGTAATCCGGACTTGGCCAGTAGATGCTTGTGATCTCTGGGCCGTCATACAACATCCGCAGGACATTATCGTTGTCAAAGTATAGGTGATGGTAACCAGAGACTAACCTTGTGTCCTTTGTCAGGTTCTGCCCCGGAAGCAAGGTGTCAGTTGGCGAATCGAAGCTCTTCCACACGATCTTGTTACTGGAGTCACTGATCACAAGGTTGCCGCTGTCGAGGAGGGTGACTGTCGTGTGCTTGCCTGACGATGTCTTGCTCTCCCACACCATGGAACCATTGGTATCTGTGAGGATCAGGTTGCCATCGCGGTTTAGCGATACCCTGGAGCCGTATTTGTTCACGGGAGAGTACCCTCCTCTCTCTGCGGAATAGGGATTCGCCGTCCAGACGATGGTTCTCTCGGCGGCACTGGTGGTGTACCAGATGGAAAAGGTGAGAGCATTTGTGCCATCCTCATGGAAGCCACAGGAGAAGGTAGCGTCAGGCGAGAGGAGGATGACCTTGTCATGGTCCTCTCCTCTTATGTGTGAGCCGGTGGTCATGATTTGCCATGGCGAAGCGCCAGAGCAAATAGGAAAGGTCAGCAACGGAAGAACAGCGAGGTAGAGCAGCGCAGCCATTCTTCTCCTCAGAGAGCTTGACAACGGAGGCAGAAGAGGGAGAGGTTGGTAGCTTTAACTCTGGTTTAGCTCCTTGCAGTTTAACTAGATGATGACACGCATCAGTGCATATACTATCTTTGATGCCGACCTCAACTAGTTGAATACTGAGCGCAGAAGGCAAAAACCGCTTGCGGATCCAGGTGTACACATTGTATTCCTGTGCAGTTTCACTTTGGTTTTAGATGATGTGAACTGATGGGACCGTTTGTGCATTTGTGGAAGAGGACCAAGACCGCAGGCAGGAAAGAAAGAATAATTGTCTAATAGACCGGTGGTATATCCTTCAACCTGTGGTCTATGTGAATTCGAGTCCTCTGACATTTGCATAAACCAAATTTTTTATCAGACGATTAAAAAATGTTTATCAGAGTCAAAGCTAAGAGGAGTAATTGCGTACCGTACTGTGTGTGTATTTTATCACCAAATGTTGGATACAGTAATAACAAGGTCAGAACTCGCCCATGTCACGTGTTTAATATTTGATCGATTTGTCGTATAGCCAACTAATGCTGCAATTGCTTGGAACCCTAAATTTGTCTCTTCTTCTTTGATGTTAATATAATGTTCATCTCGTGACCCAACACCCAAGTCGTATTGTTCGAAGCCATTTTCCTGGGTTAGCACTGGGCATCTTGGAAGAAGACGAAGATCCAGCTTCCCCGCCGTTAACATGTGCGAAATTCACATGTGTATCACCGCACTCTAGTCATCTCTGGTTATAAAGCTGTATGTTTATCTATTAGTTAACAGAAGCTAAGGACAACTTGAACCTTCTTGTTTCCCCCCCCCCCCAGAAAATTCTGGAATCCACGGTATGCGTTGCGTTTGTTAATCTTTGTCAAGATGTCCTTCATCTGGAAGCCGTGTCAAAGTGTAGTTAGGGTGCCTTATTGTGGAAAAAAATCATAACTGAAAGATATCTTTACGACCTGGCCGCATTGCTTCCAATTTGACGGAACTTCTCAACTTACTGGTCCACATTATTTTCCTTTAGTAAGCCTTTACTAAATAAGAAAGCACCCGGTCATCTTCCTCTCCACTTCACCATGTCATTATCTCTTACCCATTGTGCATCTTTTCTCTTTATATTAGATAGATAAGGATCCTATGGGCAGCATCTTAGAAAAGAACAGTCGACGATTTTGACGCCCTGGTCTGGTCCTGCAGGAGCATACACACAATCGAACGAATATTGGGAATGGTCCTCGTCTGCTAGGTCACACCAATGCTACTCTGCCTGCGACTGCTAAGAGTCCATACTGAATCAGTGCATATATATGTATCTTGGCAAAAGAAGAAGAAAAGAGTGCATATATTTCTCAGTCAATTACAGTACAATCACCTACTACACACATCCACATGCGTCGGCAAGGTCTAGCCATGAATTGCATCTTCTTCTTGACCTGTTTCACGGTGACATCACTGTCACCGAGCCCGTCGTTTTCTTAACGAGTGCTTAGTGCGCGCTTAAGATAATTCCGGTTGTTGTGCCCTCCCGGTTATTCTATCACGGTACCGGAGCATTTCTGTTGTGAACAACAACAACTGACCATGACCCTTTTAGCATGCGCAACTTAGTTTCACATTTAATTTAGCTAGTTTTGGTTTTCGGCATCTGTCATGACGTTGGATTATTGTTGCTTTACTTGCTCGTCGCCGCGGCAGTGGGCAATCAGAACCAGCGGCCTCCATTTGAAGAAGGCGACGACCTGGTTCCGGTCCGGACCTCCACGAGACGCATGGCTTGCAAGTGGTAATATATTTCTTTTGTTGTCTTAATTGTGAATTTAGTGATAACATTGACCGCATCACCCCCTGCCTGTGCCTGGTCATGATCCATTGGATTCGATGGATTCTGACTCGGTCTGACTCTGACCAATTTATTTGCATTGCATGCCACTCGTTTGCCAGTAGTGACAGTGACCGAGTCTAGAAGGGGCGTCGCTGTGCACGACCAAGCGACGCCAACAGACCAAGCACGGTCAACCTGTATTGTATGCTTCCCAACCATCTCCCTCAACTGTTAACCTCGTCGACTTTAATATTGAGGGAGAAAAGTCGACTAGGAAGATACTCAAACTAGCAAAATATAGGAGTAATAAAGAAGGATAAATAGACTTTTTAGAGCTATTTTTGGTTTTTTTAGCAAAAGGAGCTAATTTTGGTGAGTACGCCTCCTGACGGCGTCACCGTGCCGAGCCTCCTAATATAATTTTTTTTTTAGAAACACCGAGCCTCCTAATTAATTTGCAGCCTAAAAGTTCAGCCTTTTCTCAGGCCTGGCCTGGAAATGTAGCCTCAGCCCAAAATTTACTTTAGTCAAAGGCCCAGACTTGCTTAAGCTTTTCCTTTCCAGGCCGTGCCACCTACGTCTAGAGATTTTTTTTTATTTTAAACACTTTTTTTAAACTAATTTTAAATTTAACATTATTTTTTTTCAAAACTAACACTTTTGGCCGCACCTATTGCCATGGTGCGGCGAAAAGCCTGTGCCGCGCCATGCATGGTGGCGCGGCGGGAGGATGGCATGGTGAAGACCGCGGGCTTTGCTCGTTGACGACGAGGCGCTGCAAGCCGGATCTTGGCCGCGCGCTGCCGCTCCGTGCATCCGCAGCACGGCAAGCTGGATAAAAGGCCCGCGGCCTAGTCCCGCCTACCGCCGCCACGCCGCAAGATTCGCTTTCGGTTTGCCTTGCCGCCCACACTGCGCCAGCGCATGCCTTGCCCTCCTCCTACTCCCAAGTGCTATCGGCAACCGGCCCTCCGTTGCCGCCTCCCTCCCTCCATTCCCTTCCATTCCCCGGCCGCCTCCCTCCCTCTTCGGCCTCGTTTAAGGTAATGACGCATTTTTTATTTTCGTTTGAATGGTGGATTGGTATATTATGAAAGTTAAGGTTAGGAGAAAAATTATGTTTGAGAACTATGAGCTATGGTTTGGAGGAATATATTAGTTTGATTTTGTTAATGTTAAGGTTAATTATTTAGTTAGAAGTATGTTTAGCATGTATATTTTTGTTGCTATAAGTGTTGGTTATATTATTTGAGTTGTAATGCAAATGATTATATTTTACATTAATTTGTGTTGTTTTGATTGATGTTTAATTTGAACCATTTTATTAGATGGAAGACATGTTTCGGGAGCAGTTGTGGCGAAAACGGGGTCGTCCTAGAGAATTATACCCCGACAAGTCTAGCATAGATGCCCCCGTCCCCCCTGACCTCCTTGTCCCTAACTGTGATTGTGGTCGTTCGGCCGACGTACACATGCAGTCATTTTAATGTAATTAATTGTTTCTGTATGTTTTTTTTCTTCATTTGTATTATTAGGTTACTAATATTTTATTGGAATTTTGTTGTGTAGGCTCATGAGAGGTGCTTTTTCTTTTAGTGGATCAACGGTGCAGACAAGTTTGACCCTATGTACCTCCTTTTTAACGATTGGTGGAGAGGGCGACATCCACGAGAGCACTTCGAGCGGTGTGTTCCACCCCCCTAACCCCCCTTCAATGACGGCTAAGGAGAAGCACTTAGCCGTAGTTAGACGACCCGAGGAACCTCCTCTGTGCGATTGCGGAAATCGAGCTGTGATAAACCCTAAGAATACGTTAGAGTTTGTGTGTACAAACAAACATGAAGTAAGTGCAAAGTATATGTGTTGAAATATTGAGCTATATGTGTTCATATACTAATATCACCTTATTTAGGTGTTTTCAATGGCGAAGTGTCGTTTCAATGAGTGGTTGTATGGTCCTAAGAACCAATGGCCGGAAGAACCGTCAAAGGCAAAGCAAAAGAAGAAAGAAAGGTTAATTTACAAAGCACCTCTAGTCAAGTGCGAATATGGTGTTAAATCCAACTACGATCTAGTCCCCTAAAAGAGCTTGAAATAGGCCATTATTGCAGCCATATGGTTGACTATGATGAGGTTGGTTATTTTTGTGGTAAACATGAAATCGTATTTTGTTTCATTTGCTAATACATATATGATATAATTTTTTGTTTGAACAGAGCACTAGGAAATGCAGGTGGAAATGTTATGATGGTCAAGCTAAGTTGTTGGATGAACTGAAGGGGAATCAAGTAATTGCACGGAAGAGGGGATATGGACTTGACTACGTCAACCTATTCGTTAAACATCACAAAGACAAGATGCGTGAGTTTGCTAGATAGCGTGGTATTTGTAACCCGATCAATGTTGGGCTTGACAAATGAGGATTGGAGAGACGGATAACGTTAGAGGAGGAGAGGGCAAGGAAGGAGGCAAGGGAGGAGACAAGAGTACAGATGCAGGTCTTGAACGAGCATGTTGTTGCATTATGTGCCAGTGAGTGTTTGAAAGCATTTTTTTCGTTGCCTGATTTTAAATGTAATAAAATCGCGTTGCTAACTGATTGTATTTTATACATGAAGGGATTGGATGCAGCGAGGAACATGCTGCAAAGGTGGCTCGTGCAAGGTATGGGGAAAAGAAGTTAGATGAGCATAGAACACGAGCTGGTCGCACCGTTGAATCACCGATTGTGTTGTCTGATAAGGGGGACAAGGATGAGGACGACACTGCGAGACTGAGCGAGCTCATCGCTCTAGCAGAGGTGGGCTTATAGGCAGAGGAGGCTGAGGACGACATTAGCAGACTGAGCGAGCTCATCGCTCTAGCAGAGGCGGGTTTGTAGGCGAAGGAGACTGAGGACGACACTGGCAGACTGAGCGGGCTTATCGCTCTAGCAGAGGCGGACTTGAAGGCGGAGGATGATGACGACGCGTTCTTCACTCAGGCCACAAAGGCTGCAGATGAAGCGGAGACCACTTACTACAGGCGAAAGGCAGATCAGAGCAATGTAGGTGACCGTATCCACAGCAACAGGGTTGTGGTAGAGGATTGATACTCGGACGATGTGTTTCTTACTCAGTATGTTTCTGACTGAAGGTTTTGAATTACGCCGTGTATCAGAATTTTC